AAATGTAAACGGTGAATTAAATTCTTGTGCTCGATTTTGTGGCAACTTGGTTTTTGAATGGGGATATACATTAGGCAACTATAAAATAAAATGTATCATATTAAAAATTTTAATTATCTTTAAGGTAATTGGTAAAGAAAATTAATAAGAATAATAATATACACTCACATCACCTTTGGATGTAACATAAACACTTTGTAAATTCTTTCCTAGAGTTGAATTTTTATTCACTAGCTCTTCTTTCAGCTGTGGATCATCTGAAATCAACCCAAAAAATGCCATTCATGTATATACATTATATAAAATTACAATTACTTTCAAGAAGGTATTTCAGCCTCTCRGCATCTGCTTTATGCAAWGGTGCTGGTACAGGTTTATCTTKGTCAATTACTCGTTCTGTTCGTTCAACCACGTTAAACCTTCGTATACGTTTCATAAGATGAGATCCAGCTACTCCCATAATAAGTAGTTCAATGAATTTTGAACTATAACATACAACAACTAACAAGAATAAACAAATTAAGAAATATTGTACAAGATTTATCTCGCTAAATAGAAAATGCGAACTGTTCTTTTTTGGCACAACACTTAAAAAGTAAATCTGACTTTTTTAAACTAAATGTCTATATTATTAGTTATTTCAATAATTTCACCAAAAACTTTCCTGCTTTTGAAATTTAAATTGRTATTWTGATTTTAATACGTAACCTTACACTGGCATTGATAAATAATTTCWTAATGATAACGGCATTATCATTTATCATTGTTGCGAATGGAAACGTGATTTAATTTACTATATTATACTATCAATGACAAAACTATGAAATCATCGTTAGATGGCGTTGACCATGATAAATTAATTTATCATGGCGTTGACGACATTTAAATATTGACCGTTGAGGTCCACTACAATAGTACAATGATATAATAATATTATATTGTATATTGTAATAAGTAAAGTATACTTAAATTTCAAACTTAAATATTAAACTTTTTAACAAATTATTATTTATAATTTATCCATGAGTATATTTGTTCAATAATAATACCTGCATACAAAACATATCTTTAAATTTACTATCTTAAATGTGGTCGAAGACATGACACATGACTTAATTTAATACACATACCTGCACATATAAATTCAATGTTRRAAAGTGACATACTGACATAATATTTTATTAASTAACTTAAGTTTTACTAATTGGCAATTGCTATAATGAAATTACTTTTCACGTACCTAATTGTATGTTAATGATTTAATGGACAATAATTCTGATCGTAATTACATTTCATTCAATTTTATTGTGATTAATTTATTTATACCTACCTACCTAATTTAAGTTACTTATTTTTTAGTAAAATTACTTTATTAMTAGTTAGTTTATTTTTTGAAATCAATTTTAAGAACCAAAAGATTATATAATAGACACAAATGCCTTACAACCCACACAGCAAAATTATATTTTCAAAATATTGTCGAAATAATGTCAATACAAATTGAAATATGTGATTTAAATTGTTATAATATTTTAAAATATTGTCAACACTTTTTAGTAATATTTTAATTGTATACTATCATAATATTGTAGCTATTTGTTTTCATAATATTATTAAGATATATTTTCACAATACTGTAACTCAATATTATTGCAATGTTTGATCATGCAATTTCAAAATACTTACCTAGTATCAAATAGGTATCGCAATAGTTAATAAACTATGATGATAATATTAAGTTTATAACAG